ACTAAAGAATGGGGTACAGGTCTAAACAGAATTCTCACCAGAGGAAGCTCAAATGCCCAAAAAACAATTAAAGAAATGTTTAACATCCTTAGGATCAGAAAAATGCCAATCAAAGCTACTTTGAGATTCCATCTTATAGCTGTCAGGATGACTAAGATCAACAAAACAAGTGAGGACTGATCCTGAAGAGGTTATGGAGTAAGAGATACACTCCCCCACTGCTGGTGGTAGCAAACTTGAACAGCACTGTAGAAAACAGTGTGGAGTTTCCTCAGCAGGATCTACCTCAAGATCCAGAAATACCAGTCTTGGTCATATACCCAAAGGATGCTTCATCCCACCACAATGACACCTGCTCAGTCATGCCCAGTACTTAGTGAATCACACCCATTTCATAATTCCCAGAAATTGGAAACAACATAGATGCCCTTCAGTAGAAGAATGGATAAGGAAAGTATGGTATAATTACACAATGGAATATATTACTCAGCTGTCAAAAAATGACATCATGCAATTTATAAGCAAATGGATGGCACTAGAAAAAAAAATCATCCTAAGTAAGGTGGCCTGAGCACAGAAAAACAAATGTGGTGTGTATTTCCTTATATGTGAACATTAGCTGTAAGTCATTGATAGCCAAGTTACAATCCAGAGAACCAGAGAGGCTAGGACTGAAGTCAGGGACTAAAGGGAACAGACAAATCTAGTTAGGAAAGAAAAATGAAATAGACAGGTTGGGGTCTTAAGGTGTCCTGAAATGGGAGTATCAAGTGTAAAGGTAGAGGGGTTGTGGGAGGGAAAAGAGAGAGGAGAGATAGCTAAAACTAAGGGACATTTGAACATGTAAACATAATACAGTAGAAACTTCCTAAATATATACATACATATATGAAGTGATTTAAGTGAAAATGGGAGAGACAGGGCCTCAAGTCACCAAATGAAACTTCGAGTATCGGGACTGGGGAACATCTAATTGTGCTGTTCTCCATCAGAAAAGCTTCCCCCTACAGCAGATGGGACTAGATATACAGACCCATGACCAGACTTTCTGCAGAGTATTGAACACTGAGCCCTAAATGGGACATCTCTACAAATTCATCCCCTCAGAGCTCAGGCACCCCTGTGAAAGAGAAGTCACAGAGAGTATGAAAGCCAGAAGAGGTAGAGGATACCAAGAAAACAAAAAGCTCATGTGAATTCGTAGAGACAGAAGCAGCATGCATAAGGCCTACCTGGGTCTCCACGCGGTGCTCTGTGTTTACATTATGGCTTCCAGTTTAGTGTTTTTATGGGATTGTTGTATTGGTTTTTTTGTTTGCTTATTTGAGAAATAACTTAAAGTTGGGTGGGTAGGGAGAGGATCTGGCGGGACTTGGAGAAGGGGAAGAATATATATTTAAATTTAAAAATGTTTTAAATATAAAAATATAATAAAAAAAGGAAGAAAAACTCTCAGGAATTCTGAGCAACAGTGTCTAGGGTAGACTAAAGATGAAGGCATGACAATGATCTTCGTGTTGTCTGCATTTATTCTTGCTTGGCCTTCATGGCTAAATGTTTACCAAGAGTGTGTGTTGAGCTTTGTAAAATCTGCCTGCTCTGTCCCCTGTGGTACACAGAGCACTTTTAACAGATCTGTTCCTGGTGATTACAGTCTCACTCTTCCCATAGCTGAGCATGGAGGCCCACTCACTGAGAGCCATCATCAGCCCCTGGAAATGGAAGGTACTTTCAGAGATACTAACCTTTGAGAACTACCTCAATGACACTCCAGTGTAGTCCCAGTTGCCCTAAAGGAGAGACTAGGATTCCTTGTGTGTATGTCTTACTTAGCAAAAAGAAAGCTGCATCCCAGCTCCTTGCTGTCTCTGGTTTGGGAACTCTTTTCTTCTCACTGACATTGGTGGCTTTCTGATTCATTGTGAGAAGTGGTTGCACAATCTTATATTTACCTGTAAGAGCACATGCTAACATGCAGCCATCATGTGAAACGCTGGGGTTAGATCTGGACCGATTCATCATTAAAACAGGCTATGTGTCCTCGCTGAAATAGAAGGCTATCTCCAACACTATAGATGCCCAGTGTGCTCACTACAACGAAAAGTCAGTCAACCCTCCTATTCTCCCTGGGAACGCCACCATCTTTTCATGTGACATTGTGGTACAAAACCTTATTCTCCGCTCTGAGAACTTTGTAGAACCTAGTTCTCAGCCAGCTGAAGAGATTACCACGCTGCCACCAATATAATGTCATATCTCACCGTACAGAATCTCTTCACAACCATTTTCAACTTCTCTGTTCACCTACAGAGCATTTTAGGTAAAGAAAAAAGTTTCTATTCATGCTACACAACCATTCATCTTTTAAGAATCATTTAGAGTGTGTGTGTTTTGCATGTGTGATACGGTAGACACGTGGAGGTTTGCAGAAATCTTCCTCTGTTTCTACCTTCTGGGTTTCTATTCACATTAGAAATACTATTCCAATTGTAGTCCCCTAGGGAAAGTGAATAAATTTAAAAAAAAAAACAACTAAATTGTAAATTTTAAAAAGATTGATAAAGATAAAAAAAATTATATTTCAAGTCTGTGGAGAAACAACACACTGGAAATAACAAGCAAGAGCAAGAGCAGAGCACACACACACACAGAGAAAGAGAGAGAAACTAGATGCAACATCAAGAAACTTAGAAACAAATAAAAAAAGAAATCATTGCAAGCCTACCAGGAATACAATGAACTAGCATCATTGTAGTCTCCTTTGCTTGCTCTCTGACTTTGGAGAAGGGTTCATCAGACCACTGCTGAACTTTCTGCATGCTCCTATTTAAAAGCAAGGGGGCAGGGAGAGGCACGACTTTAAGGATCCAAAATCAAAACCTAGACCTATTGCTTACTCACAACATTAAAAACAGTTCCACCAGATAGTCTGTGGTTTGGGATATGTAAGAAATGAATGCACGCTACCTGTTTGTAAATTCAAACCTGTCCTTAAACTACTCTCTTAATAGAATGAGCCAAATCTCGATATGTATAAGTAAGAAGAAACTTAATTATGGGAAATTGTTAGTAATTAAAATAGATTGAGGAGACACAGCAGTCAAATATAATTAGATTATCATTTCAAGAAAACTACTATAATGAAATATTTCTAGGTAATTGAAGCAGTACAGAATTGAAATATGTTAAATATTATTAACAACTATGGCGGTGGAGACTAGGTAAAATAAGCACACAGGTAGACAAATTCTTACAGTCAGGCAGGTTGTCCTGGCCTCTACACTTTGTCACTGGGCCCTGAAATTCCCCATGTCATGTCTGTTCTGCTGTGGAAGGCTGTCCAGGGGCAGCCTTGGCTCCCATGTGCTAGATACAATAGCGCTTCCTCTTTATCCCCCTCCCCGAGACCATCTTCAGGTATTCACAGCGAAATGATCTTTAGAGATTTACCCTTCCTGCTAACTTAAGACTCTACAGAAGTATAAAATTCCATTTCTATCGCATCTCTTTATCTCCCTGTGGAAATCCATGTTAAAATGCAGAGTGAAAGGATTAGAGCGAGGGGCGTGTCATTCAGACTCCAGAGAAACTGAAGCTTGGAGTGAATGCTGCAGGGTGACTTCAAATGTCCAGGGACTTCCTGGGGTGTACAGGCGGGAGCATCATTTGTGGGGAGAAGAGAGGCATCAAAGAGTAAATAAATAAAACTAGAAAGCTGGAAATCTTTAAAACTATTTCAAATTAGGACGGAAAAGTCCATTCGAACTGAACTGTGCTAATGGAAGAGAAGTTAAGTTTCTAGACGGGGAGGTAAAATTAGTGTGAACCAGCCTCCTTCGCTGCTGTGGTTATGAGCAGTTTAGAAGGACAAAGCTCACGTGACTGAGAGAAACAGTCCAGCGTCACCAGTGGCAGCAGTGGCCAAGCGCTGCACATAGGGGACTCTAGAGCTTGCTTGGGTTCTTGCAGCCGGATGAGACACAGCACGGCTGAACACCAGTACAAGTGTTCAGAGGCCAGTATCCACTGGGCTGTCCGAGGGGAGACAGTTTAGACCAGCTAAGATGTCACCTGAGAGAGATGGAGAGCGCTAACACACGCAGGCCAGCTTTTATTAGATGCTGGCTGTGCAGGTGCGGTGCTGAAGGGGACTTGGTGTGTGGACACAACTTTCAGATCCTCACATTCCAAAGGTTGCAAAGGAAGTAGTGCACACAGTGTGTTCAAAAATGTGGAGAACGGGACTAACACAGGAGGGCTGCAGTTCACCAGAGAAGCAAAATGGTGGTGGTGGTGGTGGTGGTGGATAGTGGTGCCTCTAGAGAGGGTGGGGGAGGAGAGCTAGAGGAGAAAAGAGGAGAGTTGGGAGAGATGTTAAGAAATCGGCTCAGGCAGTACGTGAGCCTGGCAAGTCCACAATCTGAGATGAGGCCGGGGGACTGAAGAGCAGGGCTAAGTCGATGCTGCAGATGATCTGGCCGGAGAATCCTCTGTTCCTCCGGGAGCAGCACTCTGTGGTGAGGCTTTCAAATGATCCCACGAGGTCCACCCACACTGTGGAGCAAAACAGACTTTACCTAGCCTATTGATTTAAATGTTAATCTTGTCTGAAGGACACTGCCAGAGATAAGCTTTTCTTTTTCTTTTCCACCAAATATTTGGGTACGGTGGTTAAGGCAAATGGATTTGTAATACATGCCAGGATGGGATGTTGATGAGGGAGCCGGGTTCATGATTTGCCCCATACCAAGACTCCTATTACCAGTCTATCAGGAAGAGGCCCACTTCATCCCACAATCTTGCGGCTGTCAGGTCTCCCGGGGATCTGGAGTTCCACCAGTTGATCTGCTGAGCCTTCTTCCTCCCTAGGGCCTAGTCAGACAGAAGCAGGCCCACCCTAAATTGCTTTGCATTTCAAAAGGCCCTGAGAAAGAGCCGGGCTTTTCATTTCATTTATCAGCGCTGAAGTTCTTTAAAGCAATTCATATTTTCTTTTTCAGGTCGAAATAAGTAATGACATGGACTCTGAAATGCGGCTCCTGGACTTGAGTTAGGGAACAAAAGCACCATTGGCCTCTAGCTCTGGGTACCCGACAGATCACCTTCCTCCTAGACAGCAGGACTGCGACCCCTGCCGCCCAGCCAACAGGATGCTGCGAGGACTTTGGCCTCGGCTGTGTAACATTAGCGTTGTTTGCTAGATGCGTTCCGGGTGCTTGGGTGGGTCTTTTTTTAGTCATCTTCTTATACGAGCACTTGTAAATTGTAAAATAGTAATAATAATTTTCAATTTTTTTCTTAATTTAACTTGAGGCATGCAAAGTAAAAAAAAAAAAAAAATCTGTGAAAATCTTCTCCAGGTAATTTCCAAGGAGTGATGTTGAGCTGTGCCATCCAGGTTGCAGGCCCTCAGCCCTGCTGGGCTAATGGATTTGTGTGAGCTGACTTTGCCTGTGGGCATGAAACCGAAGGGTAGACTTGTGGCCGAATGCACAAAAACTGAATCCAACTTTCAAATGGAGCACGGATGGCTGGATAAACAGCACCAGACACAGACAAAACATGGAGTCCTTTGTTCTGAGTTTCTGAAGCCTCCACAACAATATTATGGCAATCTAAATTTTCAGATTCATGCATATCTTGTTCTTGAAATATTCTGAGACACATAGATTTGTATATTGTTGAGTACAAAAAGAAAGAAATGATGAGTGGAGGCCCCTACCCCTGTGCAGGGAGCCTGGCTGTCTCTGAGGGTCATATTTTCTGCTCTTTGTTTCACTCCCAACACTGATGTCAGGCCTAAAACATACAGCTCAAGGGCTGTGGGATAGAAATCACAGCCATAAATCTGTAGCCAGGAACTTTAGCATATTCAATGGGAACATTCAAATGCTTTTAAATTCTCTACAGAAATCTGTAGCGAAAATATTTATGTTTGAGCTACATCAGTTTTTTCTTCCCCTTCCCCCAATCCCAATAACCAAGAAAATTATGTGGAAAACCTAATTTTCTAAGGGGAGAGGGAAGGTTCATATTGAAAAAAGCTATCACAATTGCGGGGCTTTTTAAATTAAAGAAAATATACATGTGGTGAAACACGTAAAATTTAAGGGTACAGTATGGCTAGTTCTGAGAAATGCGCACACTGAGTAGCCAATGCTTCAAGGAAAAAGCAGAACATGTCTGACACTTTAGGAAACTTCCTCAGAGCCCCTTTCCATCAGTCGCCATGATGCCATTGACCTGCAATATGTACCGTTCTGTAAACTGCAGCGTACTTGACTTAGTCTGACATTTAAATGTTAGTCTCATCTGGATTTGTCACATGGCCAAGTGGATGCATAAAATCTGACTTGATTCTTACCGCTGAGGTGTAACTGCATCTCTTATTAACTGTCTGCTTGTCTCATGTGCATGTTGTTCTGTCCCTCCATTAGATCTCATGTGAAAATCCGTTTTGCTCCTTTTGTATACATGTGAAAATGAAGCATTCCCTTCATCAAGGTTCTGTCTGCTCACTGTTTGTTCCAGAGGTGGTCCAGTGTGGCTCATGAGTGTCTAAACCACTGGAATTGGTACAAATTCTTGTATGTTTGTGGAGAATGTATTGCAATCACCTCTGCCCTAATGCTTCTAAGTTCATGTCCCTGCGTTGTGTCTTTTCAGTCACCTGACACTAACTCTCCCTGAGTTTTATCCTTCAGAATAAACCTAGATTCTAAATAAAAGGAGCTCTTGGAACCAGAAAGGTGGTGCCATCAAGCTCCCATTCTGCACCGTGGGAGAGGGTTGTGGCAGAGAATGACACACACCAATGTTTTGTCTCTGAACCACCTTGCAGTTACGGCCAACCTGGCCCCAGGCTGTGTCCCCTTTTGAGTGGCTGACTTACCCTTCCCTGTGGGCCTCCTGCTACATTACGTGGTAACACAGGAAGCTGAGGTGCCACCATTTTATTCATTGGAACTTCCAATCATGTTTCAAAGCCAGCAAAATTTAGGCAGAAGAAGGATGAAAGGATTAGAGCTCTCTTTGACACAAAATATTCTCAGTATACAACAGTCCACATCAGAGAAAAACTGAAAGAGCGTGTCTCCAGGGATCTTAGCCTCCCTTCCACCTCCTTACAAAGGCAAAGAATGTGTCTCTGAAACAAAAACATGTCTTCACACTTCTCCAAACCTTGACTGTAGCTGCCTCGATTGTTCAGAAGCCAACTTGACACCTTGTTCTAGCAAAATCTTGACCCACTTCCTTATTTCTTCTAAAAAAAAAAAAAAAAGCCTTGCTGATCCCATAGACCTAAATGAACGATCTTTCAATAGCTGAACCCAACAAGATATGGCAAGGTGACTATCTACCTGTTTCACCAATGAACAACCCATTCCTGATAAGAGAAATTTGTCTCCATTGGAATCATGTAAGCTGACTGTGAAGCTGAGGGAAAACATCCTGACTGCTAAACTGGAGAGCAAATGATAACCAAAATTGTACCTTTTGTCTCTGGAAATGAGAATCCGCCAAGTTAAACAGAGCTTCATTTTGTCTCACCATGGAAAACGTTCTGGGTGAGTGATTTTTATCACTTGTGAGTCACTTTAATAAGGAATTTGGAAAAACTTTGCAGTTTGTTTAGAATTCAGCTGTTCCGACTTGTTTTAGCTCAAGGCAGTATCTGCTTTCTTTCACGGGTGGATGAATAAAGTAGGAAAAACCACCAATAACTGATGTGTTATGGACTGGCCACGGGCAGCTACAACCAAGCCTAAGACAGGCATTTATATCTTAAAGAACTAACTAATGTGTTAGTGAACTAGCCCAACACTGTGAGCAAAGCTGCTGCCTAATGAAATGACACAAAAGTTGGATCTTCGGAAGTGGCCATTAGAATAGTGTTGCCATGTTCCCAAGACCTGGCTTCTCCAGCCTCTGCATTGATACCCACCAGCAAGAGGACCTAGAAACTGCCTGCGGTGGCCCTGGTTCAGTGACTTTTAAACTCCTGGCATCTTGTTGAGCTCAGATATGCCCACCTATATTTTAAAGACTCAAGAACCTTAAATTTCTGAGCTTTAAAAAAATATTCTTTCAATATGTGAATAGTCTGTAACATTTTGAAGTCAAGGAGTCTTTTAAAGTGTCTGAAAGTTAACTTTATTTGTTATAAATAAGATGGTAAATTAAGAATGTTTCGTCCAAAAACAAAACTAATGAAAAACATTACTCCTTGTGTGACTAAATAGTGTGTCACTAATAGTGTGCCACTCAGAAAGGAAGTGGGTACATTTACATATTAGAAGAATGTACTTATAGATTAAAAAATACATATATTCTGAAAAGTGAAGAACTAGAAACATTCACATTTTTTGTAAGTAGAACCTCTTTTCTTCTTGAAGAAAGTTTAGGGAAAAATGCCACTTCTACAAGGTGAATAAATCCTCTTAAGTACTGGGATTTGGGGGTAGGTGCCCATGATGAATTAATCATTTTCTTTGAACTTGCATTCATATAAAGGGCATGAATCCTATTAAATGCTAAATGCTTTAAAAATGAAATAGTCAAAGAATCCAAATGTGCTTTAGCTTGAACCAGAGATATAAGTTCAAAGAAGAAAAGTAGAGAGGAAAAAGAACAAAAAAGGAAGAGCTGCGTGAGAAATACAATGAAAGAATCAAAACTGAAAGTTACCTTGTTTTGATTTGAACAATGCCAGTTTTGTTTGTTTGGTCAAATGGCTTCATTTGTTTTAACTAAGTGAAAACACTGAATTATTTTCCAATGGCAGAATACCTCCCCCTTCCTCTTCAGAGTTGCTAAGAAACCAGTCTGAAGAAATTGATAGTCTAGGTGGTTTTCCTCATAGTCTCTGCTTTTATAGACAACCACATCAGTCTACTTTAGGATGAAGTTGAACCGCAAATGACCATTACCATCACCAACACTAACAACAGAAAGACAGCAGCTTACCTAAGATAGGTGTCTATTCCTCTTTATATTCCACAGTTCTGGAGACAGCAGCAGAGATCAGCATGGGAGCTTCCTAGAGATCTTGACCTGTTGTTGCTTCATTCTTTGTGGCTACTGTTCTCAGGTCATAAGAACATTCAAAATGACTGCAAAAGTTCATGTCTTTGGCTTTTAGTTCCAGCCAAAGACAGGGAAAAGGCAGAAAGAATTATTTCTTTCATTTGAGGACAAGTCTTAGAAGTTGACTTATAGTATTTCTACTTTGCCGAAGTTTGGTCTAGCCTAAACTCTGCTGCAAAGAAAGCTGGGCATGAGAACCTATATTTTAGATGATATTGTACCCATATAAAACTACAAATAGTGAACATATATAGAAGAACATTGAGTGGACTCTTCTATACCCTTCAAGAGTACCATCTTGTTGAAATAGAGTTCTCAATTTTTTAATTGTTACAGATTATGCAAAAATGAGACATATACTTTCCAGTATTGTGAAAAATGTCATCATCAGTCCCATGAAATAAAAATGTCTGGTTCTTGCTTTCTATCTGGCCTTTATGGTCGGAGAGAACCCCTGATGCATGATACTATATCGTCCCATATTTCCTCAACTCTGCAGAATGCATTTTGACTTTCTTGCTCTTGGAAATGAGCCTAAGTTGAGGAGACAGTTCAATACAGGGCTCAATCTACACGTAACAGTACCAACAAGTTAATCCTTTCACTGTAAAACAGTCGAACTCTGCTACACAGATCTTTTGAGATGATCAATAAGGTCTTTGTTTTATTGCTATTTAATTCAACAAGTACCTAGAGTATATAGTGCTTAGGAAAGTGGGTCAGGACAGATAACTTAGAACATGTGATCTTTTTGTACATCTTTGTCTTGTTCCTGATTTTAGTGGAATTGCTTTGAGTGATCTTTTGTATTCTGTTATTTTTCTCTCTGCTAAAATTGAACTCAGCCAAGCATGGTAGCACAGGCCTATAACCTCTACTGCATGGGAGGCTGAGGCTGAGTGAACATGAACATAAATTCAAGAGCAGCCTAGGCAGCTTAGTGAGAGTCTATCACAAAAGGTAAAAGAAGAAGAGGAAGAAAAGAAAAAAGGAAAGGAACAGGAAGAGAGATGAAAACGAGAAAGAGGAGGAGAAAGAAGTCATTGCTATTGAAGGTTAAAGTTTAAGGGGGAGTGGCGGGAGAGGTACTTCAGTGGTGGACCAGGTGACT